CGCTGCCCCGCCGGCCGACACCTCAGCGGTCCCGCTCCAGCCGCCACTTCCGGCGTGCGGCGGCCTAACCCTGCCGGCTGGGAAACCCGCGCCGCCCTTCGGCCGTCATCCGCCGGGGACCAAGAAAGTGGGGACACCGCCCGACTCGTGTGCAGCCGCAGCCTGGGGAGTTGGAGGTTGGGAGTTACTAAGATGTATTTGTGCCTAACTGAGGATGCTCACGGTCTGGGCTGCATAGGGTGGTGGTGGCATCTGGGCACCGCGTGCGACATTGTCAGTATGTGGTTGTCAGTGACCGGACTGTGTCCTTGGGGATGACAGGGCCTGACTAGTCAGTCTAAGAGGCTGGGTATGATTATGTGCTGTTCACATAATCATCCCTACTTTACACTGAGCTCAGAAAAAGGAGACATGACCATATTACGTGCTGCTCACACACAGTAAATTGCATGTTGTACTGCCTACTCGGCCTGGGAATCTAGGGACTCGTCAACTTCTGCGCTAAAAAGCCCTGGTTTGTACAGTTCCTGGAAAATTGGCCTACTGGTGCCTTGGATATCTGCCCAACTCCCTAACCTGACCTACTGGCCAAAGCCGTCCTCTATGCACGAAGGAGCATATATCCAGCCAGGAGTCACAGAAGGTAGCTGGAGATGTGAGTTAATCCAACCATACAAACAACAGAGTCGAGGGTCAATCCTGCTTATGTCTGCCAAGCAGGGTATGGAGAGCGTAACAGATGCAAGGCCCCCAAGGGCCTCAAAAGGTTAACTGGAACTGGGATGTTTCTTGACGAGGGAAGGAGAGTCTTCTGTGAAGGGAAGCTTGAGGTACAACAAGAGGCAGATATAAGAACTGACAACTCTTCTAGGCCTTGATCAAGAAATAAGTTGAAAAGCTCCCATCTGGTGACTGTCCAGGATAGATCTGAAGGATCTCTGGAGGAAAGGAATGGGATTCAGAGAGAGCTGAACTTTCAGCAGGTCCTCCCACCAGCAAAGTTATTAGTTATTCTGCTCTCTTGTCCACCAGCTGACTGAAAAAAGGGCAAGAAGCAAGCATCCTGTGTTCAGAGAACATCACGATAGCCATTCCTCTAGAGATATTCCCCATGTAAGAGGCAGAGGTTTGTTTTATGACCTTAGTGACCCACAACTTTTGACTGCAGCAAATGCTTAATAAATGCCCTCTGCTTGATTCCCAAGTTATGGTCAATGGCTAAAATTTTTTTGGTTTATAAAACCTTGACTGTGATAGTTTTACCAATGTTATTAACTTTCTCAATAAGTAAAATAAAACTCAGTTTTAAAAGGTTACATATTCCAAGGTATTTAAGATATGATTCCACAGAAAAACACAAACTCTGTAACAAGAGTTTGTGCTGTCTCAAGATAATCAGATTTCACCATTCAGGCAACTCAGAATTAACACACTAGAGCCCCCAAACTGATTAAGAACTGTTCACTGGCAATTTACAGAATCTAAAGAAGCTAAGTGGGAGCCAAAACATTTTGTAGGTTTGCAAGTACCTCTATCAGTTAGATAATGAAAATGATTCTTGAAAAGTTAAGATAGCCACAAACTTCAGGCAGTGGTGGTTGTCACATGCAGAACAAGTCATTTAGTAATGTCAGGTTTTTTTTCTTATGCTTCTACTTAAAATGTGGGTGCTCTCTTGTTCCAAATATTTTTACTAAAACCTAAAATAAGAATAAACTACATAAGGACTAAGATTCTATTGAGATGACTATGATTTTATAACCCTTCAGTTAAAAAAAAATCACTGGAGGTTAATGAAAAAGGCATTAAAGACAGAACAATTTTGCACCTGCTTCTATTTACCCACTGCCTGTGAGAGCCTTTAAGTACAACCATGTTAACAAGGAATTGATTTCAAACCAGTCTATATAGACCAATATTTATTAAACACTATTTTTGAAAGCTAAAAAATTTTCAACCTCAGTTGCTGAAATTCACAGATATCAGTTCATCAGAAATGCCCAAAGCATTCTCTGAACTCCTTTGCCCCCTGATGCTCCTTCCAGATCACAGCAAGAGTGAAATATTGGCAAAGGTTTCCCCTAGGCCCAAGTATCACATGCATGTCCCTTAGGATCTATCTCATCAAGCAAGCAGGGAATAAATTTATTTACTTTCTTCCCTATTCATTGACTAAACATTTTTAAATTTAACTCCCAACTGATATCTTATAATGCAATGGTCCTGAATGTAAACACGGGCCTTTCTGTCCAGGCTTTTATACTTTGGGAGCAGCAGGTTCACTCCTTATGTCTCTGACGTTACTGGTTCTACCCATCAAATAGAATTCTTTTTGGGGGAACAAGATTGACAAAATGAGCAAGACAGTTTGACATGGCATAAAAAGCTGAAATTGCAGCTATATCCCAGGCATCTTCTGGTTGAAGCCATGCACCGCGAGCTTTTTGAAATGATCATCTGTTATTTCATCAGCTCAGGAAACAGCAAGTGCAAACTCCAGCATCGCCTTTTCCCGGGCAGGGAGGTCAGACTTTCTCCAGTTCACACAGACTTCCAAGAAAACACACAGTCAGAAGCAGAATCTCCGTTCATTACAATGCAGCCAATGAAACACAAGGCCTAACGAAATAGGCATTAATGAAAGAACCCAAGGTTAGAGTAAAGGGGCAAAGTCAAGCCAATATAAACTTTCTAGACAGATAAGTATCTTGGTCAAGTCCAGTGTAATACAAACCTGAATTCTAGCTCAGCACCACCTCTAACAGGAAATCTTTGCTCACTCAGACTACAAGCACTTCTCTCTCCTCCAAACACCTATGGCATCAAAATCCTCAGAACCAAGACTCAGAGACTCTTAATACTTAAGGACCCCAAATCCCAGCCTTTTCATATGAGAAAAGGGAAGTTCAGATAATTATCCCTTTGTCCTCACTTAATCCCAAATAAGACACAATATTTGCAAAATTAATAGCTGACACTTAAGCAATTACTATGTGCCAAGAATGTGTTCAGTGCTTCATATTCATTATCTTATGTAATTCTTGTAAAATCCTAGGAAGTAGTACTTTTATTATCACCCCCAGTTTTATTGGCAAAGAAACTGAAGCTCGGAGAGGTGAAATGACTTACCCAAGGTTACAAAGCTAGAGAGTGGCAGAGGTGGGATCTGAATCCAAGCGTACTGGATTCCATTACCCTTGCTGAAGCAAAATACTGGAAACCACTAACCACCTAAAAACAGGAAGAACAGTTCCAGCAAACCATGGTGTAACAGCACATCCGAAGGTCACAAGGGAGAGACTGATCCTGGGTGAGGCCTGGTGGCTAGGCAGGAGGCTCTCAGCAGGCCAAGGAGATGATGTACCTGTCTTGTTTTGCTTCAAGCTGGCAAAGGAAGCCCTCAGGGAATAATTTTCAAGGTCTCCATTCAGGTGGAGTCAGGAGGGAAGATGACCCTCCCTCAGGAATAAGTGCAGAGAACAGATGTTTCTGTTCTTTGGCCCAGAGGATCAGGAATTTCATAGTAGGGATCAGTAGGATTTTGTAAGCATGGTGACAAACCCATATTTGCTGCGTCTTTATCTTCAGTCCATTCTCTGGGAAGAATTAGCATGACCTCTGGCACCCAAAGAGCCTGACTTTGGATGAAACAAAGAGAGGGTAAGCTGTTGGCTTGGGGACTGAGACCCATTTCACTACCAGTCTTGTTGGGAAAGGGTTGGTAGAGGCGGCTCCAGAATGGGAGGCTGACTGGGCCAGGCTTGGGTAACCCAGCAGTAAGAAATAAAAGGAAGCCTAAGAAACTGGTTTGGGCCCATTAGGAATAAGTAGTGGGTAGACTATAAATTCACACTGGGAAGTGCAAACAGTATAATGTAGCAGAAAGAGTGCAAGCTTTGAAAGGGGACTCGGCCACATTCTAGTTGTATGCCCCACATTAAGCTCCAGCTCTGCACCTGCAAGGTAAAATGCTTGTAATAAGGCTCAACTTAGACGGGGAGTTGGGTGCATTCAAGAGAACGTCTGCCGAGTATCCAATACCAGGTCTGGCATGAAGCTTCAGCTTAGCTAACCACTGGTCCTAACTATCAGGTACACACAGAAGCAGGTGGGCACAGGGATGGGAAACTGGAAGAGGAGAGGTAGACACTCACCTGGTCAGAGAGCACTGGGTTCTTTAAGAAGACCCTGTACCAAGCACTGTGGACAGCCACGCTGTATGTATACCTATTGGCTAGGCTGGTCACCACAATGATGAGTTCTTTGTCAGCTCTGCTGAGCTGGCCTGGGAAGGGAGAGGAGAGGAGAGCTGCCATAAGCCCTGGACAGCAGCTCAGAAGAACCCAGACAGGCGCCACCATATTTTAGCAGGTTGCCCATCCACCTACGCACCCACCCATTCACTCATGCATTCATTCCCAGTCCCTTGCTCCTAGCTACCCTGTTTTACTTTCTTCGTGACACTTAACACTTTCTGAAGTCAACTTATCCTTTTATCTTATTTGGTTGTTCACTGTTTTCTTCTCTCTAGGATATGTTTGAAAGTCTAGGCGTTTTCTGACTTGTTCACCACTATCTCCCCAGAGGAATGCCTGACATATAGTGGTTGCTCAGAAAAATATGTGCTAAATGAATGACTAAATTCAAGAAATATTTTCTGAGGCCCATCAGGTACTGGACTAACACTTTTTTAAAAGGTCCTAACCTCAGGGGACCTGCTCCTTAGGGGTCAGCAGAGGCAGAGAAGGAGGGAATCCACGTTGGTACCTGGCACCATTCTGGGAACTTTACATAATCCTCACCCCAGCTCTGCAGAGTGAGTATTAATGCCACTTTACTAGTAAGAAAACCAAGGCTTTGGGACATTTACGTACTTTGCTGAAGTTCACGTGCAGATTTATGGCAGAATCAGATTTGAACACAGGACCTGTCTCTTCCCACTGAGATGGAGAAGCTGTGGCAGCTGTGGAAAGATAAAGCAGTAGGCACTCAGCATGCCACTGAAGAAGGACAGATGAAGGAGGCTGTGGAGTTCAGTGGAGGAAGAGGCCCTTGTAAGTGAAGGCAGATGAGATGGACTTCGGAGGAAAGTTCAGATTCACAAAGCGTGGACAGGATAAAAGGCATCCCAGGGGCACAGTGAAGTGTGAGCCAAGTTAAAGAGGGGCGATATCATGAGACCTGAGTGCTCTGAGGAGTAAAATGTAGCTCACCTTGACTGGTCAGAACATAAAGAGGGGCTGGAGGAAATGAGACCGGGAAGGCAAGCTGGTGTTAGGCCATGGAGAATCATTGTGACAGATATCTCCCAGTCCCTGCTTCTCCCTCTTCTTTTAATAATAGAATCCCTTAATTTTAGCTGGGCACGTGACCACACAGCTTCCCTGACAGCTAGATGTAATGAAGTTCTAGCTAATGGGATGTAAATGGAAGTGATGAGTGTGACCTCCATGTCATGACCTTAAAAGGAAGGAATGTGTGCCCACAAGTGTCCATCTGTCTCTTTCTGATGGTGGCAGTAGTGAGCCAGCATGAACATGTAACCAAGAGCAATCTCAGACAGCAAACAACACTGTGATGCCCCTCAACAGCTCACATGGGACTATAGGTGAGAGAGAGGAAAAAAACATCTTATTTAAACCAATGTGTCTTTGGATCTGGCTAACAGCAGCCTAACCTGAACCCTAAGTAAGAAATGCATTATTGCCAGTCTAAAATCCCTGAACTTTATTATCTAGGGGGGTGTAGGGAGCCAAAGGGATTTTTAGAACAAAATTAGAAAGATGAGCCAGAGTTATTACCAAACTTATTTCAGTTCCATACATATAACTGTAAAGTTGCATTCAGACCCCAGCCTCAGAATCTGGAGGCTGTCTCAGCCAACTACAGTCTTTCTGGGCTTCTTCCTAGCTCCAAAGTGATCTGGGACTATGTGGGAAGGACCTCTAGCAAGCAGGCCCCTGAATCTTATCCAAGAATGATTTAGCACTGTTTTTCCACTAACGTGTTTCCTTGTTGCAGATGGCATTGTAATAAGCAAAGAAGGCTCTGAATTCCAATGGCCAATAAGGCAACACTTTAAATATATTTGGTAAAAATCCTGTCTGCAGAGAAGAAAAAAACAAGGAAAGATAAAATGACAACTTAGAGCAGGATAGGCAAACAATAACTGGTAGTTCCCATACTGTCTGCTGAATGCCAGATGCAATCTTAGGAAGCCACAGCCTTGTGAAAAGCACAGTCCACACATACGTTCACCTTTTAGGGTATTTTAAGTGTTACTTCTAAAGGTGATTTCTTTTTGGTAAGTCATGTTATGAAACTTAGAGAGTGAATTTGTAAGTAAACCAAATGACGCTTCTTAGAATTTAGATTTTACTGATTTCCTCCCTTTTCACAGAGGGGTTGGTGGTGCTTGTTTATTTCTAAGAATTAAATCAGTAACAAGTCTTGATATTAGTAAAGTACTTTGTAAAGTTCTTTCATACATCCAATCTCATTCTTCCTTCTCCACAACTCTGTAAGGTAGTAAGGCAGGTATCATTATCCCCAGTTTACAGATAAGGAAACTGAGGCCTGGAGAGGTTCAGTGACTTGCCCTAGGCTATACCAAATGTAAGAGGCAGTCTTGGGAGTTTGACATTGGGTTTTCAGTATGTTTTCTAATGGGATGTTATGGCAGATGTTATGTTGGCTGCTACCCAGCAGCCATTTCTTCCCTTTTCCCTTGACAACTGAACCTGACTGTTGTTCAGATATCAGATTGCCATGGGCCCCAGGGATGGCCAAGCCCTTTCCCAACTCTAGTGGGTGAATCCTGATTGGTCTAAACCAACTATAGTGATTCTATTCTACTTGTCAGTGATTGGCCTAGGAATGGGCATGTGATACCATTGTGCCCAATAAGAAACAGGGAAATCAGCTAGGAGCCTTCTCTCTCCAAAAGGAATATGAGAAAAGGGTGTAGCCTCCATGCCCCTTCCATTACATCCAGGGGTTGTGCAGGGATGTAATGTTTGCTGCTGCTATAGCCATGGAGAGACCAGGAGGTCCCAAGTCTGAGCACAGAGTCATCACATTAAGGAAGACAGAGCCAAAAAATGCAAAGAACTTGATCTTTGACCTTATCACTGAGCCACTGGATTCACTCTGTGTCTGGACCTGCTGTTATGTGAGACTCTGAATTGTCCTTACTGTTATACCAACTGAATTGGATTTTCTCTTACTTGTAGCTGAAAGTGCCCTAATAATAGATGGTACAGGTTCATTACTGGTCTAGAACACATGGTAGAAAGAATCATTTATATCAGCCATAGCAGGGGCTGGGCAGGAGGTGAGGAAGTGAGGAGGTGTGGACAGGTACTGAGAAAGAGGCTGAGGGTTCCAAACCTTTCCCTTCAGACCATTTGGGTTTTTATCTTTTCCTCTTCATCTTCTT